AAAAGTGTCAACAAATATAAATAATCAGACCCTGCAATAGAATAAATCAAGTTTCACTTTAGTTTTTCAAGCAACTCAACTCTAACTCACTCACTCACTCAGCATCATCAAGGTTATCTTTTAGGAATATGAGCATGTCCACATTTCCAGGTAGAAGCTGGGATGTTTGGGCGTTTACAATATCCCGTGCTGTGGAAAAAACTCTCTTGCTTGGTACTGATGTTGCTGGGATAGAGAGATATGCTTTGGCCATGGGTGACAGCAGTGGGTCAAACTGTGGATTGTCTCTCCACCACTTCAAAAACAATACAGTTTTTGCCAAGAAGGTGAGGCTTATTGACAGGGCGAGATATAAATATACTGTTGGTACTTGTCAATGACTCTAGGTGTGTACATATAGCCCTGTAAATACGATGTCCTTTTGTGTTATCTGTTTTTATGTTCATGTTGTAACCTACTTGTTGCCATGTTGGACAGATCTCCCTTGAAAAAGAGATCGATGATCTCAATGGGACCATCTGGTTAAATAAAGGTTTAAAAAAAAAAAAAATAATAAAAAAAATAATAAAAAAATCGCGGTATATTTTGTCAGTCTCACGACGGTATTGAGACATCTATTTACCGCGATATCTCGTTACATCCCTATAATTAAGTAAATGTAACACCCTTTTCATCCCGGTTACACTTTTCATTTCACTGTTGTAGCTTCAGTGGTTCTCAGGTTACAGTTACATAGCAGTGTTTGCTGGTTCAGAGGTTTTAAACGGAAAACAAATATGTGAGGGTCAAAAATACATATGTAAAACTTTTTTCTGTATTTGGATTTTATTTACATGTATATGAAATGGAACACATTTGTGTGTGCATTGAAAAACACAAGTGTGGATCCGGAAATACAAGTTTGAATCCTTCTGTGTGCATGTGTGTATTATGAGACTGATCTGAGCCCATATTTATAACAACCAAAACAAACTGTAGTAACCAGGCAAACAGACCTGAGTTTTTTTTTTTTAACTGAATTATACGGTGAGGTTTAAACGCACCCTAATTGTCCCACAGTCCTTATTTATCATATCATAAATCACCACACGGATACCGTGCATATGCTATGCATCTCCTTACCTGAGAATCTTGAGTTTGCAGTTGGGACTTCTTAGTCCGTCAGAGAGCAGCCTCACTCCTGAGTCATGCAGACCATTTCTGCTAAGGTCTAACTCCTCTAGACCAGAAAACTTCGAGCTGAGAACTTCTGAAATGTACTTGCAACATCGGTCAGTGAGGTTACAGTCACTTAGCCTAAAGTGAAAAACAAAAGGCCTTTTAACATTTTGCAGATGCGCCCATCTGTCCTTTGATATCTTTACACAATCTGAGAGCTTCAGATAAGTTCTGTTCATTAAGGTAAACTACTTACAAAGCTACCCTTGATGCTTTTAGGACTGGCAGCAGCCTCTCCAGAACTTCATCTGATCTGTTGTATTTCTTTAGGTCAAAGACATCCAGGTCTTCGTTGGAGACAAGCAGAAGAAAGGCCAGGGCAGACCAATGTGCAGGTAAGATTTTACCAACATCTCCTGATCTCAGGTACTTTTGGACCTGCTCTAACAGAGACTGGTCTCCCAGCTCATTTAAACATTGGAAAAGATTCATTGTTTTGTCGGTGTTCGACAGTCTCCTGATTTTCTCATGAATGAAGATGATTGTCTCCTGGGTGCTCTGTGGATGTCTTTCTTTGAATCCAAATACTTTCTGAAGAAGCTTCTGATTTGAATCTTGAGACAGACCAAGCAGGAAGCGCAGGAACAAGTCCCATAGTCCATCGCTGGCCAAAGCAGTATTCACACCTTTCTTGTGGAGGAGGAGGAGAAGAAAGTCTCCTGTCTCTGATGCCACCTGTACACGTGTCTGACTGGAAAGCAGATTTTCTCCACAATTTAAGAAGGTCTCTAGTACATACAGAGCTGCCAGAAACTCCTGAACACTTAAATGTATGAAAGAGTAAACTTCTTGTTTGTGAAGTCCACCATATTCTTTTCTTATGATCTGTGTACAAACTCCAGAATAAACTGCTGCTTGTGTCAGATCAATCTTACAACTTTCCAAGTCCTTCTCATAGAAGATTATGTTGCCCTTCTGTAGCTGTTCAAATGCCAGCTTTCCCAATTTCATGATCACATCTTTGTCCGTTTCAACTTCCTGATAATCCTTCTGGTTGTTAAGCTTTGTCTGAATGACCAGGAAGTGTGTGTACATTTCAGTTACAGTCTTGGGCAACTCATCTGTGTCAGTTTTGTTAAGGAGATTTTCAAGAGCTGTGGCTGTAATCCAACAGAAGACTGGGATGTGGCACATAATGTACAGACTTCTTAATGGCTTTGACATCAGATGATCGAGGATCTTCTGAGCTGTGTCGTTGTTGCAAACTTTCCTCTGAAAGTATTGCTGCTTCTGCTTATCATTAAAGCCTCGTACCTCGGTCACTCTGTCGATGCACTCGGGAGGAATCTTAGCAGCTGCAGCTGGTCGCCCGGTGATCCAGATCGAAGCTTTGTGCAGCAGTTTCCCTGAGATTAAGTTGGTTAGCAGAACGTCCACTGTTGTGATCTTTGTAACGCTGCGGCACATCTCATTGTTCTCAAAGTCAAGAGGTAGTTTGCTTTCGTCTAGGCCATCGAAGATAAACAAAACACTTGAATTGCAGTAGTCTGAGTCTGAGAAGTCCTTCACTTCTTCAAAATAGTTACCTATTAACGTCATAAGACTCAAATGCGTATCTTTTATCAAATTCAAGTCTCTGAATGTGAATGGAAATATGAACTGTGTGGTTTGGTTGGCTTCTCCTGATGCCCAGTCTTGAAGGAATTTCTGCACAGCGACAGATTTTCCAATGCCAGCGATTCCCTTCGTCAGAACTCTTTGTGGAGGGTTTTCTTCATTTGAAAAAGCATTCAAAATGTCATTGAGCTGGATTTTCTCCTCCTCAAACAAATTCCTTCTGCATTCTAATTGAATCACTTCATGTTCATTATTTACCTCCCCACTGCCACCTTTTGTGATGTAAAGCTCTGTATAGATCTCTTTTAAAGGTGTCAATGATCCATCATCCTTTGTTCCTTGATAGAGATTCTTTGCTGAATTTTCAATGTAAGATTTCAGTTCAGCTTGGCATCTTTTTATGTTTGCTAAAAGATGAATAACATCGTAAATTCATTATTTTCCTGTACTTTTACAAGATAAAAAAAAACAGTATGTTTGTTTATTTTAAGGACTAGGTTTTCAGACAAACTACAGCAGGCAAAACAGAAGAACCTGACCAGATCATATTTCAGATTGACTAGGACAAATCTTCGGTCAGTACAAGTGCTAGCAGAATTTGTAAACAAAAAAAATTAAACACAGCACCCTAAATTGATGGATAATAAATATCAAAGGTTAGCATATATCACAAAACATCACATTGAATATAACATGGACAGATGACAGAAATGAAAGAAAGAAAAAAAGTACATTTGGTTTTGAAATATCTGTTTTCACGGAAAATACCTTTTGTTTTGTGAAGAACTGGAATTTGTGTTGTCCGTCCTATCAGGACCCTGGCCTAAAACACAAACATGCAACATCATGTGTGAAATGAAAATAATTTAAGGCATGTTTGGTCAGATTTTAGGGATTTAAATAGTTAGACAGCAAGATGAAATTGTATTTGATTTATAAATGTAAGAGAAACATACCATATGTGTTGATGTTTACTGTTCCTGCAGAAAAATGTGTAAGCTGAGGTTGGTTGACAACACTTCTATCCTGGGCAATACCTGTTGTGCTTCCTGCTCCCCTCTGGTTTTCAGCTGATTGAGAAAAGATACAGAAAAGAACCAAGAATCAAAACCCGTCAACATTTGAACTGTTAATAAGGGTCGGGATTCTGTTTTGTTGATGGAACAAGCTCCCCATTGATATCAAGGACAGCTGAAAGACTTCAAATCGTCCGTTGCAGACTGTCAACACACTGGTTTCGACTGAAACTTAGCTAATGAATAAAATAAAAACACAGCACTTGGGAAGGATTGTTTTTTTTGTTTTTTGTATCTTTATGTTTAAATGCAACCACGGTTAGTCGCTTTGGATAAAAGCATCAGCTAAAAAAAATGTAATGTTTTGTAATGTTTTCCATGGAGGATAAATAACTTGATGGCTGATGGTAGGCCCTGCCCAATTATTTGGTAGATGACACTAAGGTAGTCAAAAAGCTCCTCAATGCCAAGATGGATGACATTCGCCAAGATATTCCATCACATTATTATAATTTGTTGTATATGCCCTGATATCGCAATTTTTTCATTGTAATTTTTATTAGCCTTAAAATGAAGTAACATTAAGTAACCCAAAATGTTAAACAGTAAGAGTAGTAGTCATATTTCGTGAACCCTTTGAAGAGTACTGTCACACCGGTGTGATCATTCTATAATACACAATTTAAGCCCGGGGGAGAAATGCTAACGCTAGCATCGGCGATCGCCGATCTTTTCTACTTCATGCTATCTGCACAAATGGTTGACATCAAACATTAAAAAGACCAGGCAGTTCAGAGAGAATCAAAGGAAGGCAGGCAGGCAGGCAGCTTTGCATGACATTCTTCTGGACGTCTTTCATTGTGGTGATAGTGAGGGTAGTCAATCGTTATGTTGACAAGACAGTAGTGACGGCCATCTTGGTGACGTGTGTTGTTGTGAGAGTCTGCGAGACCATTTGTATTTTTCCGACTTGCAAAATTATCTTTTAAATTGACAAACATCATATGTGTAATTTGTGGCACAATTCAAACGGGATCGAAAGATAATCTTTCTCTCTCCATTGACTTCAATACATAATTTTTTCGAAATAAGGTCCCATGGAGCTCCCCCGGAAGGGGAGGGACTTCGCCACTCTATACNTTTACTAATACAATAATCAGCATTTTTATTTTTGCACCATTGTGTCAATTGCACTATTTTACTTTCTCTTTATGTTAGGTATACTGCTGTTGCATTTGTAGAGGAAATTATTTCCATAATAATAAATAGTTCCAGAGGTGCAGGGAGTCTCACCTGCCCGTCCCCGCTCTGTCTCTCTCCGGCCAGGTCGCCCTTCTCCTCGGCTTTGCTCTCCTCTTTACTCTGTCCTCCTTCCTCTGCCTCTTTCTCTTCATTCTTATCCTCATCCTCCTCCTCCTCCTCTTCTACCTCCTCCTCCTCCATCCCCTCATGCACCTCATCCTGCACCAACTCCACAACCACGACTTCCTCTACTGTTGCCGGGCCTTCGGCTGTGGTGGACGGTTTGGGCTCGGTTGATGCTGCTGGAGCTTCTTCATCGCTGAACTGCTCTGCCTCCTCTTCCTCCTCCACTTCCTGAGGGAACACAGGAACGTGTAGTTTAACATTATTGATTATAGTATTTATGTTGGATCAAATAGGATCACATCCATGTATATCACTTTGCAGAAAGAAGTCTTATAAGTTTACTAAAGCTAGCTGTGGCTAAACAGCATTTTCTTTTTTTATTCCACCAGAAAACAACATGTAACCATGAAGGTTAAAAGACTTTGTAAGCCGGACGACGGAAAAGCGAAAAAGATGGTATGGACTTCTGCTGTGTTTAAAGACGGTAATGAATTTCAGGACTCACTTTCCCAATTCCAGCTCACTAACCATATAGTCAACATAGTTTTTGGGTGAGATGCCTCAAATTAGGTCTGTGGTTAACACCGACAAGACATTAGTGAATGGCGTAAGCTTCTACCTGTTATAAAGTGTCTAAATGAGACCAAGCATCAACACGCCAAACGTTAGCCGCCTTTAGCTTAGCAGCTGTGAGGTCAAGTAGTTTGTTATAGCCTATAGTTATATTTTTACTTATGTCGGTTACATTTATACTTAATATAAATCAGTGGCGTTAATATATGGAGATTATTCTGCTAAACAAAACATGCAAGTGTCAAGTTTGCCACTGAAATTATTTTCTGCAACATTCCAAAATCCAATAAAAATAATTCCATTTTTTTTTTTAATGGAAGGAGACCTTGTGATGCTAACTTCCGGTCGGTCTTCAAAAAAAACGTCAGCCCTGAACCACTGTTTTAACAGCAACACTGCTTTTCATGTTCATGTTTCCTGATTTTCTTCAACGCTTCATACTGGATTTATAGGCTATACGTTTGACTTTACACTACTGGAGTTCCATAATGAATGCCAGTTAAACCAGTTGCATACCGCTGCAGTGTTTTACCTCTGAATGGGAGCCGTTTTCTTCCGGATCAGCACTGTCATAGTCTGAGAGGACAGCTGCACAAAACACACGGAAAGAGAGAACAATAGATCATTTTTTTCATGTAATTCAATTCTGGCTCAAACGTGTTTCAAAAGCTGGGTATGAGTTGGCTATAATCCTATACAAAAAAAACTAATTACTGTCTTTTGATTCCCTTTGTGTTCTTGGTTTAAAGCCCCGGCCACACGAGGACGATAACGGTCGTATCTGCTACAGTTCACTATCAGATAGACCAGGGGTCGGCAGCCCCTGGCACACGGCACCGTGACTAGTGGCACACTAGGAATAAGTGTGCAAAATATTAAAATGTTATTTTCGGATCCTGAACGAGACCGCCACCAGAGCACGTCTCCCCGTTACCTGCAGAAGGAAGCCATGCACGCAACGCAGCCCCGCTCTCTTTAACTCCAGGCGACTTTCTGTGGCTTTCCTCCGTGGTGCAGTGCTGATCGTTTCACCACAGAGGAAAACACTTCACAAATTGCAGTACCCATAAGGAGCCGTACAAATGCCGCAGTTTTTGCGTGGCTGTGTCTTTAGTTGAAAACCCAGTATTAACTACAGAAATCCTGCAGCTCCGCCCGCTGTGACGGACCGGTGAGCGGAGCAAAACACACAAGAGTTAGACCTAACACACTTAGCTATTTTATCTACCTCTGGAACAAGCTAAACTAGTTATAATATATTTATTCTTCACTGTCGGATCACGCATTACTAGATCAGTGAGCTGCATGAGATACTGATGGGCTGTCAGGAGAGAGAGAGAGAGAGGGGGAGAGAGAGAGGAAAAGAGAGCGCTTATCCGCTCATTTCTCCCATGTTATTTTCCAAGGTTAATGTAAACTAGAATAATGTACTTCATTTGAATGCAATAATTATGTTGGTTGTTGTTTGAGGAAACGCCAGGGAATGAGCCCAATTAACTGAGTTTTAAACATCACTTTAAATGGAAGATCCCCATAGGCCCCGCCCACTCGATCGGTATCGGCCCCAAAAT